AGATTAACAATTTACTATTGTGGGTTCTTTTTAGCTTATCATCTCTATATGAGATGTTACTGACCGATAAACTAGTTAGAAGAAATAATTTCTTATGACAAATGGTTGAGCTTAAATGAAAACTGAGAATTCAATTCATATATATACATTAATCGACTCCAACTTATTTGAAACAGAGGCATAATTGTTATTTGTTTGTTTATTACAGCCATACAAATGCAACAAGAAATGGGTTATCTCTTTGAATCCGCTGCCACATTGTGGGTCAGGCTCTCAAATTGTTGGAGATGCTACTTGTTATATTTGCAAAAGGAGATTGAATGACCCTGACCAGTATCGCTTCTGCTGTATTGCCTGCAAGGTAAAACTAAACTTTGGCTTCATAAAACTTATGGATCGTTACACAAATAATCGGCTGAATTCATTGTTTATTTTTCCTAGTCGGACGGTATACATAGTTGAATATAGACATATTATACATTGAATTATACATGTGTTATACATCCGCCAGCTATTTTTAATTTAAGCAATTGGATGGATGACTATTTAGGTTAATTCTTCAAAGTTGTCGCACCATTTGCTGTTTTCCAAATGCATATGTGGTTCCAGTTCCACGGTTCTTCATTGCATCTACTTATTTTTTTGTTGCAAAGATTTAGAAGTTGGACATGCACGTTCTATTAATTTGTCCCATATAAAAACAGAATGAGTTCCTATACAAGGGAATTTATAATGAGTTTCTTAAGTTATACCGACAAACAGTTAGTATTAGTGTTTCATCAATTACATACTGATCTTCACATTATATCTCCTCTATACAAACTGAGAAGGATGATAGTGTAATGATTAGGTTCAAGTAATATTAATGAAAATTGATTATAAGGATTCTTGCCAAGGCTTTTATAAAGTTTATTACTATTGATAGGATGTATTTTTTAAGTGTTTAGTGATTAGGGTAATTAGCTCGGGATGTACATCTCTACACTTATGTAATGCTCAAGCAAATTCAGTTGAATGGGGGAAGATAAGATGATTGTGTGCCTCAAAGGCTCGCCATAATTTATTGTCATTTTCCATGACCAAATTGTTGTGACAGGTTAAACTATACAAATAGTGTAAGAAAATTTTATACTGTCAATGCACATAAATAATGTACTTATATATATATGACGGAATTTGCAGGTAGAAGCCTTATCTAGGAAGAGAAACGAAGCGCGTTGCGCGCTACGTGCAATTAAAGCTTTTGAAGCAATTCAGAATGGCGAGATCAGGCGCAAGCGCAGGAGAAAGGGATTTCCTCACAGAGCTCCTATTCAATAACAGTTGAATACCTAACTATTTTAGCTCTCTTTCCCATCTACCTATGGGTAGTTAGGAAAAGAAATGTTGGTTTTTTCCTTCGTCTTTTTTATTTTTGGTTAACTTAAAACTGTCATTTATGGGGCTACTCAAAAAACATGATACCTCTATGCTTTGAGCTAAATTTTTTAAGACTGGAACCTTATAGTCTGTTCGGCCAATTTTCTTGAAGACTAAAAGCACTTTTTTAATTAAAAAAATGTATTTTTTCCTAAAGATTTGAGGTGTTTGGTCAATTTCAGAAATAGTTTTTCTGTTATCGAAAAGAAGCTAAAAATTTCTACTTCTTTCAATAAGCAGAAGCACAAACCTAAATTTTTTAATTAGTTTTGCATGTCATTGTGGTAAAAATATATGTATACGAAGGCACAGTCTCTCTTCCTATACGTGTTCGATTTATAAGCAGAGTGATTATTTACAAAATACTCAACAGGTATGTACATCAGGGGCGGCCTTCCCTAAAGCAAGTAAAGCAACTGTTTTAGGTCTCACATTTATAGGGGCCCTTTTTTTTTGTTTACACCCAATAGGCTATATATAAGTTTAAAAAAAAGTTCCGTAAGGTAAAAAGGTTTGATTTCTTTCTTTAACAAATATAGAGAAGGAGGATTTGTAACTGCTATGATTTATGCCAAAAAAATTGCATTTGAAATGAATATAGAACCCGAATTTCGTAAGAAACATGTGATATATTGAAAAAAATAATTTGATGAGAATGTTGATAATGAAATCTCAAAATCTCTCGAAAAGTCCTTTAGAGTTGATTACTTTTTATATATAATAGACAAGGCTATTTTTTTTATAACAAAATAGATTTAAACAATTCGAAGCATAAAAAAATATTTTTGATTTTTTATTTAGTGGTTAAAAATTGAGATCACTAGATGATGAAAATTTGAAAATCATTGCCTTAATTAATCTTGAATGTTCCTTAAAGCATAATAACCAATCCAATATTGATGGTTTATATTTATTTTCTGAATTAAAATTGTTAAGAAAAATAATACAATTAGAAGATAACAGTTTAATTGATATACTCAATCAAATAAAAAGATTTGATTCTTTTCCAAATGCATATATTGCTTATAGAATAATGTTAATAACTCATGATACCGTTGCTACAACGGAAAGAAGTTTTTCAAAATTAAAATTGATAAAATCTTACCTAAGATCAACAATGTCTCAAGAGAAATTAAATGGATTAGCTATATTGTCAATTGAGAAAAACTTATTAGGAGAAACTGATTATAAGAAAACTATTAATAACTTTGCATCTAAGAAAAGCTAGAAAAATAGACTTTAAATTTAAAAAAAAATTAAAAAAAGTTAACGCCCCTCGTAAAGTTTGGCTTTAGGCCACAAAATTCGTCGGGCTGCCCCTGATGTACGTTATATACCTTCGGGATATGCAATTCACATGTTGTATACTAGCGAGGTATCTCAAATCTTATTGTTGTAATTTGTAAAATATGAATTGTATACTCTAAAAATATACGGTATGTATATATAACTGCGGCTGTATAATTTTTTAAGGGAGAAATTTTATAAAAAGTACAGGCGGTAAATATTTTATTTTGCTAGAATAATCTTTAAAAAGAAGGGGAGTCTTGGCGTAACTGGTAAAGTTGTTGTCATGTGACCAGGAGGTCACGGGTTTAAACCGTGAAAACAGCCTCTTGCAGAAATACAGGGTAAGGCTGCATAGCGGGAGCTTAGTGCATCGGGCTGCCTTAATAATTTTTAAAAAAAATAGTTAGTATTAGTTTAAGAAATCGAAAAAAATATGGAACAAAACCTAATAAATTAATACTATATGAATAAAATAAAATCATACAGAATAATAGTATCTTGAGAATGTTTTATAGTAGAAAGCTAATTAGGATGGACTTACTCATCTGAAGAATGAATAGTAGAAAGCTTATCAATATTGTTGTTTCTCCTGCGAGCGTAGGCCATCGAATGAAGGAATTTGGTATTAAGCAATTTTTTTTTTTTTAAAGTTTTTTTTTTCAAAGTTGAAGTGTTTGGCCAAACTTTTAGAGAAAAAAAAGTATTTTTTAGGAGAACTAAAAGCAATTTTGGAGAAGTAGAAAAAAGTAACTTCTTCCCGGAAGCACTTTTGAGAAAAATACTCTTAGAATTACTTTTTTAAAGCTTGGCCAAACACTAATTGCTCTTTAGAAATAATTTTCAAATTAATTAGCCAAACACAAATTGCTTTTCACTAAAAGCACTTTTGAAAAAAACACTTTTCATAAAAAAAAGTACTTTTTAGAATAAACTGATTTTTTCAATTTGGCCAAACAAGCTATTAGTTAGCCGTAGAAATCTAGATCTCTTCGAACTTCATCGGAAAATATGATTTTTTGTCAATTACCAAAATTGGTTGTTTACAACAATCATTTAGTTGTATGACTACGAAAACTATTTTAATCAGGAAAATAACAAAATCAAGAAAAATAATCTAAACGAAGCAAACTCTTGAATAACTCACTCATTTGCACTATAAACCTAGAGCTGTCAATATAGGCCGGGTCAGGTTAGTTCAGCTTAGCCCATGTGGGCTTAAGCAACTGACGGGCTAGGCTGGGCTAGCCCACTATTTTGATAGGCCCTATAAGGCCGGCCCAACATTTTTTTTAAATATAATTTTATATTTTTTCTTTAAGTTTTAACCTAAAAAGGATGAATATTTAAAAGTTAAAAAATATCTTATTGGAAAAATTTCGCAAAACTTATAACTTTTTATACTGTTCCAATATATCACGAATAAACATTAAAAAAAGTAAAAGACAAGACTATATTTCATTTACTAAAAGTCAAAACTCAAAACAAACTATTCAAGAGAACGTCCATGACACTTATGGGATATCCAACACATCATCTTCATCAAACACATTTGAATCCGCTTGTGACAAGGTTTTCTTTACATCTTCACTTTCATCTACATCTACAATTCATATGCAATATTAATTAGTTAAATATTAAGAATAATTAAATCTTAAAAATTAATAATATTCAAATTCACATAAAAAAATATTACCAGTTTGAGTTTGGGAAAAGTCGTGCAGCCAATTTTGAGTAGTAACAAGTGTTTGGACATTTTCATGATGGATGCAACTTCTGTACTTTATCAGAACACGCCCACCAATGCTAAATGTTGATTCCGATGTTACAGCGGTAATAGGAATACTACGTACATCACTGAAAGATCAGGATATTTTCTAGAATGGTCCTTCCAATACATGACAACATCATCTCTTGAAACTTCTTAAGATCTGATTCTTATAAGTAAAGATCCAATTCTGACTTTCCATCGCTAGAGGCAGTATACTTTTTATATTTTATATATTTTAAATAAATATTTTTATTAGGCCCACGGGCCAGCCCAACCCAACCTCATTTAAGCCTTACAGGCCACGAACTTACTCGGGCTGGGCTTAAAAGTCTAGATGGGCTCAACCCATATTGACGGCTCTAAGTAAACCTCATGTTTTTGTCAGCATATTGCATCACTTTTTTTATTTTCTTTTTTAATCCATCGCACACCGTCCCATCCAAGAGGATCAATAGCTTTCCCTCAATTGAAGGTGGAGATACTCAACCACCAGTGCAAACCTCATTTGTCTATCAAGAAAGGATTATAGAGTGATGATAATATATTTAAAAGCCACTGCAAAGAGTTACATTTCGTCAAAACACCTTTCCCCCCTCCCTTTGGCTTGCAACCCTTAACGCGGTTGAGAATCACAAATAAACATTAAATATACAACTGCCTGAATACATGAATCAACAGATAAACACAACGGCCAGAGCTTTACACTTCAAGCAGCATTTTGAACCCAAAGTCAAACCATGGAGAGATAAAAGATTATACTCATGATCAATTTTTCTGATGAACTGCAACTTGATGTATGTCCATATCCTTCAGCATAACTGAACGCCCACATGAATCACAAGGGGCAGTTCTTGATCCACAGACACTCTCGTGCTCTGTAAGTCCTCTTAACCGATCCCTTGCATCTGCTGCGGAACTCCCTGCTTGCACCATGTCTCCACAAAACCGGCACGTTACCAGCCGCAAGGGACACTCCATAGATTGATGTTGAACCTGTTACCAAAAACTGTTAGATTAACAACCCAAGAATAGTTACAACAACAACAAAAAAAAAACCAGTGTAATCCCACAAGTGTGATCTGAGAAAGTAGTGTATACGCAGACCTTACCCCTACCTTGTGAAGGTAGAGAGGTTGTTTCCGATAGACCCCCGGCTCAGTAAAAGCACAGTCACAGCATTGTTGAAAAGAGATGTAGTAATGGAAACCCAAGAATAGCGTATAATAAATAAAAGAAATAACTTTACCATCTTTTCTTTTGCAAGGACTATTCCACAAGGGCAATGCAGCGGCACATGAAATACTTTCTTGTGCTTCTCAATTTCTTCTTTCTGAAATGCTAACCCACATTCTTGACAGTGGACATGGTTCTTGGCCTCATCCCTCCTTAGAACAACCCCACAACCAGTATGCTGACAGACAACATTGTGCCTGCTACAGTAGGCTTCATGCAGCGCTATACTCCTAGAAGGTATGAAATGCTTACAATTCCGGCATCCTACCGTATCTGCATCAGCAGATAATGTGGAAGACACAGCATGCTGTCCGCTCTTTGACTTATATGTGTCTCGAATGTTAACAGACACCTTATACTTGGTTGTGCCCTTGAAACCATAAATGCCAATACTGTATGTACCTGGTCCAAGGCCCAGATCCCTGGAGCTAAGGACCAAAGATTTTGAACCAATGTCATGAGATGACCAACCGTGCTGGTGCTGTGTGGGGAACAGTAATGGATGTTTAGAAACATAGAGGTCAGTATCTCCATCTTGGGTATCTGATTCTACCTTTATCTCAACTTCAACATCCCCCAAAGATATAAATCCCCAATTAACTTCGTCTAGTATGAACTTGTAGTATACATAGCTTCCATCTGTGACCACTCCAGCATCTACCTCCCCAAATATGAGAGGTTGCAATACACACTGATTTGTGCTCTCAGCTGTCCGATCTGCGCCCATTACATCAACTTCTATATCCGTTTCCAAAACAGATACACTCGAAGNGGATACACTCGAAGAAGGTTTCAGTTCAAGAACACGTAAATGGTATGTCAGAACACCATGATTGACAGTCAGTATATTGCCTTCTGAAAGCGTGGCATGCTGACGAAGGCTTGTTTCAAGAACTGCTTTGTGATTAGGGATATCAGAAAATCCTGGTTCAACTGGCTGAAGTTTTGCATAAGTTCCTTTTGGTAGCCAGACATAACACACTTCAACCATAGGAGCCATTGGAGAATCTGCAGGAAATAAGTTACTCCATATATGTGGAGGAAGCTCTACAGCACCGTCATCGGCAGTGAACTCCAGGACTCCAGCATGTGTTGTCCGATTATTCTGCTCTGCATCCTTCAAGTCCGAAGGAGAAGATTGGCGAACTACAGAAACCCTGAAGTGTAGGGGTCCCTTGTCAAAGGCACCCTGATCAGACAATTCAGTGAAGCAAGATGGTGGCAACTTAATTTTATCTCCGGCACCCTCATAAGGTACAGCTTCCAAAATACGGGAAAATGCAACTCCTCGTCCAGCTAACAGTTCTTCTTCAATTTGCTGGGTTGCCTGAAAAAACAATCCAAGAGTTAGGCGTTCTCCAATATTAATTTCTTCAAGATAGCTTGAGCATCAACAACAGGTTTTAATAGAGATGATGGAGACAGCTAATTTCTCTTTGTATAAGGAAAAGTAATTTTTTAATCACATTTACCACTACACCAGAATTTAGCCAGCTAATTTCTTCTTATGGATAGCCAAGAAAAGATGAGCTTGCCTATTTAGAACCCAATTTGACAACAGATTACAATGGTCTAGATATGTAATCAAGAAAATGAAATGAATGCATGAACTGGCCCCAACATTCATAAATTTATCGCAACTCTATGATGCAGATAGAATAAACATAGCAAATAGCTAAAACCCCATGATCCCTCAACCAAAAAGAATACAACTTGAACAAGAGAACAAATATAACATACACGAAATGAATCAGTCTGTCTGTATTCACAACCCATATCAACAGGACATTTATTCTCAGCCTCCCTCTGTCGCTAACTCGAGAATCAGCTAATGCTTAGTGCTTATAACTTTCCGGGGCGAGGAAATAATAGACGTCATAAGAGCACTGGTATTCAGAAGATTCCAGCTAAATTTATTGGGTGCAGCACTTTACACAAATCCCCGAGTGTAAAGTCAATGAAGCAGGAGTGAATCCTTACTTGATTGATTCAAACACATCTTTGCCAAACGCCCTTACCCTGAAAGGATTGATTCTATTTTTTATTTGTATATTACACACATGAAGCACATTGTGCCATTGACCTAGGAATCTGAAAATATTGCTTTTCTTTGAAGTTAAGACATGACTAGCAATCTGGTTTGAGTACACATGGCACTTTGAAATATCCATACCTGTAGCAGGCTTTCATCATGTGGCTTAACTAAGCAGAAGTGAGAAATAAGTCAGGATACAGTTTTGAGAAGATAACGTGTTATAAAAAGCTTTTTCCTGTAAAGGCAGACTATTCACAGCTGAAGAAAGGAAGCAGAAAACAAATAACAATCATAAGTGTAATAATTCTTGCCGTGTTGACAATTAATAAGTAGAACTAAAAAAGGACAAACAAATTTCTAGATTATAAAGTGGCTCTCCCAATGGGAACGATAGTAGTTACACTTACTAAGAATCCTAGTAAAATGTGCTTGCTTTTTATACTTCATCAATTAAAAAACTAATAAGTAATAAATGACGTGATTACAAAGGCCTGCTAATATCTACTCTTCTTCATTGTTGAACAGATGTCCAACAAATTTGCCATGTCTTTTATATCTTAACATGGAAAATTCCCTGAGGCCGTTTGGTTCAGGGGTAAGGTGGGATATCCTGGTAAAGAATTTGGGATAAAATTTAACCCCTGTTTGCTTGTCAGTATTAGCTATAACTTTATACCACATGACTTGGGATTATTTATCCCACCTGTAAAATGACCATGTTACCCCCACAAGCCCTTTACTAACGATTCTAAAAATAGTGAAATGGCATGACAATTCTGGTATAGGATTAACAAGTGATTTATTTACTTCAATTGCATATTGGATTATTCTGAGGATTCTTATTCGGATTTTGAATTGGATTTGAAATCATTCCCTTCTTTCTTGATACTTTGGATTCTGTTCGTCACAGAATTTGGATGTGAATTCGCCGCCGGCAAAAGAATACGGCCAAAGTTGTCACTGGACCTTGCTAATATCCGTATGTATTTTTTAAATAAATGATTCACTTAAATTTAAATCACTAAATAATCCAAGGTTAAAATTGGAAGCTAAAAATTCATCCAACTTCAGACCAAACATATGCTTATTTCATCCAATGAACCAAACAAAACAATAGCACTAAATAATCAAGGGATTACTAATCACACGATTATAATCCCGGGATAAGTGTGTCGGCGAACCAAATGACCCCTTAATATAAGAAGTATTTGGTATAAATTAAAAGCATAATACACTTGTGGTAGTTTAACTAACCACATAAACAAATTCAACAGGTAACTTGTAATACCCCGATTTTTTTTATATACCTATTAATCATGAAATTGGAGAATCAATTTTTATTTATAGTTATTGGATCAAACACTAAGCTAGTGGCAGGGAATTTATTATAATATATAAAATAGCATACTAAATAAGTGGCTAATTTTTCAACTCTACTTATTTAGTTGACTTTAGTTAAGAGTATTAAACGAAAAGGAGGGGGGCAAGCTCATTCTCTTGATCTAGTTGCTGCCACATTTTAGGACTTTAAAATAGGAAAATTTTGGTTTCTTAGTTCATTATTATATAATGGAGAATAACGGCGAGCACTTACGGTGGAAAGGGACAAGGGATTGACTACGATTTGGTTGGAGAGATTACTGGGTGGAATGTTTGAAAGGGACAAGGGATTGACTACGATTCGGTTGGAGAGATTACTGGGTGGAATGTTTTGTGGAGGAGCTAAATAATCAAATATTCCATCAATTTTCCTACAACAGTATATTGCATTCAATTTGCAGAGAAGTGACTATTGTTTATACTTTTATGATAGATTATGCCAATGATTGGCACAAATGATTATAGTAATGCTTGATCTTTATGGCAGTTAAGGCAGTTTTGCACGGCTCCTGAAGCCACTGTTAATGCTTGAACTTTATGGCACAAATGATCACCTTCTGAAGCCACTGTTAAGGCAGTTTTGCACGGCTAAAAGTACCGTATTTGACCTTAATTCATGTACATAATTTAACTTGACTGAGGTTTCACTTCTCGAAAATTGTGAAAATTGTTCACCTAAACTAATTAGGACGTATTATTCGATATTTTGGTAAGTAAGACTTTAAGCTTTAATGCTTGCTTTTCAAAACCCGTTTTGAAAGTATTTTATCTGCATGGTCCATGTGTTGGGACGAGCGTGTGCTTGGCAGAATTGGTGGTCTTTGACTAACCGCAAATATATTATTTTGTGAAAAATATTGAACTTATTTAATAAGTGATTTGTGGTGTGGCATGGCTTCGTGCCACGGCTTCGTGCCACGGCGTTGGGGAGTTTCGTATCATTCATTCGCTTAACGTGACATATATATTAAGGGCATACATACCCTGCCATAATATGTTAGACACATACATATATTGTTGTAATATATTAGGGACCTATACATGCTGCCATAGTATACTTTAGGACATTCTGTATGTCCCAAAAGTATATATATCACGGCAGCGAAGGAATGATATGCGACCTCAACACCATGACACGAAGCCACAACACACCACAAATCACTTATTAAATATATAAGGTCAGTATTTTTTACAAAATAATACATTTGCGGCTGGTCAAAGACCACCAGTTCTGTCAAGCACACGCTTGTCCCAACACATGGACCAGACAAACAAAATATACTTTCAAAACGGGCTTTCAAAAGCAGACATCAAAGGTTAAAGTCTCGCTTACCTAGAAAACTTTCTTTCTTTTTTTTTCTTTTTTGATAAGGTTACCTAGAAAACTTTCACCTATCCTGAAATGCCAAAATCCACCAAGGCCCCTAATAGCCTGAATCTATCCATAATATGGAATAATATGTCTTAACTAGTCTAGGTGAATAATTTTCATAATTTTCGAACAAGTCTAAATCAAAGCCAACGCTCGATCAAATTAATCAAAATATGTACACAAATTAAGGTCAAACGTGATACTTTTAGCCGTGCAAAACTGCCAAAGCAGTGGCTTCAAAAGGCCATCGCGTTGACCTATACCATACTTTCTCAGTAATGCTAAATCCTATAATTACCATATGATTATTTCTTTCCTAATCAAGCCATAATCATTACTTTAATCATATAGTCCCTTCATTATTACACAATTCATTGATTAATCATTATGTCTCCTAATTAAAAAAAAAAAAAAAAGTCGAAACAGTAGCTTGAGCAACCAGATTATTTAATGCTAAATCAAATACATGTGTACCCATCCTTAAACCTCAATCCTATACTCCCTCCGTTTCAATTTATGTGAACCTATTTCCTTTTTAGTCCGTGCCAAAAAGAATAATCCCTTTCCTTATTTGGACACAATTTACCTTTATGCAATGATTTATAACGACACAAAATATATGCCTTATTTTACACCACAAATTCAAAAGTCTTGCTCTCTTTTCTTAAACTCCGTACCCAGTCAAATGGGTTCACATAAATTGAAACAAAGAGAGTATTAAGTTTTACAAGCTCAATCATCACTATAATAATTTGTGTCAATCATTGGCATAATCAACATAAAAGTATAAACAATAGTCTCTTCTCTACAAATTCAATGCAATATACCACCGTAGAAAAATTGATGCAATACCTAATTATTCAGACTCCTTTTGGTTTAATACTCTTAACCAAAGTCAGCTAAATAAGTAGAATTGAAAAATAAGCTACTATCCACTTATTTAGTACATTATCTTATATATTATAATAAATTCTCTTCCACTAGCTTAGTATTTGCCCCAATAACTACAAATAAAAATTAATTTTTCAATCTCATGATTAATAGGTATATATAATAAAAATAAGGTTATTATATAACTTTTTTTGAAAAGGTAAATGCTTTATTGATAGAAGGTACCAAGATGGTACAAGTAGTACAATAACAAAGGGAATGCAGATCAGAACATAAAGAACATAAATATTACATCTACTGTCTGCCCCTAGCAAGTCCAAGAAATCCATATACTCATTTGTGCTACCAATAAGACTACCCTTACACCATAAGAAAAGATTCTGCAAACATTTGTTCTTAATTCTAGAAATATGGTCTCTTTGTCCTTCAAAACAAGCTCTATTCCTCTCCAGCCATAAGATCCAAAATATGCATATAGGAATAGTATTCCAAATCTGCTGCAAGCTTTTCTCAATCCTCTGCCCTTGCCAGCACTCGAGTAGGCCCCTTATGCTATTACATAACTGCATTGATGAATCGACCCCATTTTTTCCTGTTACGCCTTCTCTTATCATCCTTGTTCTAGGGAGGAGAAAACACTTGGAGCGGGTCTACCATAAGAGGCAACAATCCTATATACATATTCTGTTCATCAAATATGTATATAACTCCATGAAAATGGTTATACCATACAAAGTTCATACCTTACTTGTATACCTATTTTTCGTGTGTTCGTGATCCCAACTTAGTTAATTCTCTTTTTTTAAATGAAGCCACTAAATGTTGGAAATTGCATTGTTGACTTATTAATACTCAAGCATGGGAATTGAGCAACCTTTTAAGTGATTACGACGAAAAATTAGACATATATCAAACCAACCTTAGATCAAATGGTTGTTCCACAAATCCTTTAATGATTGAAGTGCATCAGGCTTCCCCTTTAAGCCATAATTCTTTACATCATTTTGTGTAACAAACTTAGCGAATAGGCCCACCCTTTACCCACAAGTTAACTCAACTTTTTTTTGCAATAACTCGGCTAAAATAGGGTTCAAACCAAGGCAGTCATTGAAGCTATTTTGCCAACATAAGGTCGCAAAGTGGAAGTATCACCCCAAATAGTTTTAAATGCCTAGCAGGAATAACTACAATATGCTATTGCTCCAATGGTATCGACATTAACACAGAAAGATAACTTCACTCCAAACGTATCCCTTAGAAACCATGCATTGTCCTACTTCTCACCCGCAAAATTAAGAGATTTTCTTTCCCACTTCACCAATATCGTCCTGTAGATTTTTCCGCGCCCTCAAACCTAATATAATTGGGAAAGGACAACTCCAACAATGACTTGCTCTTTTAACCCTATCCTGAAGCCCAGCTATAATGTCATTTATAGCTTGTTTGGCCAAACTTCTAAAATCAGCTTATTTTGAAAAGTCTTTTTCTCAAAAGTACTTTTCAAAAAACTGGCTTTAATTGTGTTTGGCTAATTAATTTGAAAAGCACTTTTGAGCAGCAATTAGCGTTTTTTAAAAAGTATTTCTAGGTGTATTTTTCTCAAAAGTACTTTTCAAAGGTGCTTTTTGGAAGAAGATATTTTTTTCTGCTTAAAAACTGTTTTTGCTTCTACTCAAAAGCATTTTGTTCCTTCTAAAAGCTTGATCAAACCCCTTAACTTTGGGGAAAAAGCACTTTTGGCCAAAACGAAGCTTGGCCAAACAGGCTATTAGGCACCTTTCAAATTTTTCATCTTCTTTGCTTTGTAGCAAACAAATTTCACATGAAGGAAACATGCTATGAATCTCACTCTCCCTCTGTATCTTATCTTACTGAAGGCCAATCCATGGCAAATCCAAAAAAGATCAAACTTTATCTTTACAGAATTCACGAGTCACTAAATTTGATACATGAGATGATGCAAAGTGCAAAAGCCCCTTTCAGGTAAAAGTACACATTTTCAAGTTCCCAAGGCTTTGATCTAGTTGCAAGAGGGCAGCTCGTTGCGAGTTGAAAAGCATGGTATTTAATTAGAGAATGTAGAGGGACAAGCCCATTATCCACCTGAGTTTCGAACCGTGAGCATCTGGCCCTCAGGGATTTCTCGGTTATAAAACATACACATTCTCAAGTCTACTGTTTGTTAAGTATTCTTGTTTAGTGGAACTAGTAGCTCAAAATGCAAACTTGAGATAATAAAGAGCAACTTAGGACTATCTAACAATTAATCAAATTAAAACATCTTTCTTTTTAATGAATAACAACCAAATTAGAATTATGGTCTAAGAAGATCAACAAGCTAACACCCAATTAAGAACTATTTGCAAATTTGACAAATAACCCATTCCCAGATCAATCAATAACTCAAAAATAAAAGCAACCCAATAAAAATATAATCAAATAAAATTAGACCTTAGCTTGGGCTTGAGCAGCATCAAGGCGGCGAGCACGTTGAACAGCTTCAATAGCTTCACGTTGACGAACGGCTTCTTGTTTGGCTTTTTTCTCTCTTTCCAATTTCAATTTAGCTTTCTGCTTCCTATCCTTTTGCTCTTTCTCCAGCTTCTCTCTCGCTCTTCTCAACTCAAAATCCATAATTTGTTTTTTGCTTTACGAAATTTCCTAATTTCTCTTCTATTTGCAATGTGATGGATTTTGTTGTATGATTTTGATATATAGGACAAGTGGTCGGTCCAAGGGAAGGTGTAAATGGGAGAATTCCTCCTTGATTTTCCGATGTGTTGATGGAAAAGGCAACTTTTCTTTAACCTTAAAACTTGAATTCTAAAGATCGAGAATAATCTGGGCCTTTCTGGATGAACCCGAATTTGATAGCCTGCTAGCCCAAACATATTAATCAGGCCCGATAATTATGGAAAATGATATTGTATAGCCGATCTCAAAATAATAGCCGAAAAATATATTTTTTTATAATTTTATATTATATATATATACAAAAAATATATAAATTTTATATATTTTTATAGCTAACGGATATAAATAGCTTCTGCCGAGAGCTAAAAGTAATATTTGCGCAGTAATTATCTCTTGTTCGTGTCTAGTGGATTTGTTAATAAATTAATAAATATAATAAAAATTAATCGCTCCCAAAAATAATAGCCAAAAAATATATATTTTTTGTATGTATGTATTTTACATACATATAGTATATAAATTTATATACTTTTTAGCTAGCAAATGCAATTAATTTCAGTCGACTCACCAATTTTATATTTTTCCATAAATTAAATTTTGAGTTGAAATTACAACAACAATAACAACAACAACAACAAGCCAAGTGAAATGGGGTATGGGAAAGGTGAAGTGTACGCACACATTACCCCTACCTAATGAAGGTAGAGAGATTGTTTTCGAAAGACCCTCAGCTCAAAAGATGTAAAAATGAAGCAATAAACAGACAGTAGCAACAACCAGGTAAGTAGACATGGGAACAAATGAAGATACGTGCAACAACAGATATCTATGAATACGACACTATAAAAATAGATTCACTCTTGCTGAAAATAATGACACAATATGAAATAGCAAGGGGCTAGGCATATAAAAATACAAGACTAGGACTAATACTACTAGGATGCCTAGACGAAACTCTATACTACCTATCAACCCACAACCCTAAACCTCAACCTCCACACCCTCATATTGAGGATCATGTCCTCGGTAAGCTGAAGTAGCGTCATGTCCTACCTAATCACCTAACCCCAGTATTTCTTAGGCCTCCCTCTACCCCTCCTCTGACCCGCCATCTCATACTTCCTAACCGGGGCATCAGAGTCTTTCCTCTTCACATGCACGAACCATCTCAACCTCGATTCCCGCAACTTATCTTCTACAGGAGTCACGCACACCTTGTCCCTAATATACTCATTCCTAATCTTATCTCCCATGGTATGCCCACACATCCATCTCAACATCCTCATTTCCGCCACTTTCAACTTCTAAACATGAAATTTCTTGATTGGCCAACACTCGGCTCCATACAACATGGCTGGTCTAACTACCACTTTATAGAACTTACCCTTAAGCCTAGGTGGTACGTTTTTGTCACATAAAACACTAGAAGCGAGCCTCCATTTTATCCATCCCACTCTAATGTGGTGTGCGATATCCTCGTCGATCTTCCCATTACCCTATATCACAGACCCAAATTATTTGAAACTATCTCTCCTCGGAATGACTTGTATATCCAGCTTCACGTTCACTTGAGTTGAAATTAGTTTGATTTTTGTTTTTCACAATAAGTTTGGCTCTTTCGATTTGATGTTCCGATTGGACTTTCAATCGATTTCTTCACATGTTCTCTCTTAAATTTATAGTAAACCAATTTCGATTTTCCCTAGCAATGTGGTGGGTTCAGCAATTGTGAATCCGATACTTGGATCAAAACATTCGTAGGACAATCAATAGCCATATTATGATACTCACTTATTAACACATGCGTGAGTAATCTTAATCTCTAAATAGTTTCCTAGCGGTGAGTTAGAAGAGTTTAAAAATGGTCTAAGAATTGAAAAGTGGAATATTGGCACATTTTAAAGGTTAAATAAGACACCAATCCATAAATATGCCCACTCTTACAAGGAATAATTAGAAAGAACCAAGAACTTCGTATTATCAAGAGCTAATAGCCAATGTTATAAAGATGAAATTAGGAATTAATATTGACGTTTCGGGTGAAAGTAGTGTCTAAGTGCATGTTAATATCTTATTTACTCTTGTATTTTTTAAACCTATTTTAAATTATTATTTTTAACCGAGAATCTATAGAAAACAATGTCTTTTAACTCAAATAAAATAAGGATAGGATCTTCATACACTTCACTCTTCTCAAATCTCACTTGAGAGATCACACGGGATATATTATATTGTTGATATTAATGTCTCAATTGGTAGAATGTCACCTAATGCACATTTTACATATAGTACTGATTGTATTATTCACCCTAAGAATATTATGTGCGTTGCGTATGTCTTCATTTATATAATATGTTGTTATATATCGTTAAATCATAAACAAAACAAAACAATCCACATGGATAATAATTTATATAAGCCATGTCTACGTCGAAGACCATATTTATAATCAGATTTCATGTTCATATATAGAGACAATTGTAGCATCGATTTGATTGCGATGGCGTGGAGACACATGGCCCATGACCTGTCTTTTTTCTGTCTTTTGACCTTTTGGTTTTAAAAAGTTCCTAAACCATATCCTAATTATATACATAAGTCATTAACCTACTAAACAACTAGTCAATCTAATTAAGTGGGCTTTTGGACATAATAATTGCGAAATTTCGGGAAAAAAAGAAAAAAAAATTCAAATGAAAATGATATTTGAAAATTAGAGTTGTGTTTGGACATTAATATAATTTGAAATTGTTCTTGAATTTTTTAGAGTGATTTGAAGTGAAAATTTTGAAAAATAATTTTTTTATAGTTTTTCAAATTTTCGAAAAGTTTCGAAATTGAACTTCAAGTAAATTTTGAAATTTTAATAGCCAAATACTCATTCCCAAAAAAATAAAAAAAGTTAACGGACCCTAAAGCTTAAACAAATTCACATAAGTTAACCATTCTTATAGAATAGTCTTAAAGCATAAAATAATTAATTAACACTAGACTGCTCCTTTTTACTTTTTCTTTTTGGATATAAGCAACTAAATTTGTCTAAAAGGAAAACAAAAAGAAGTTCTCACCAGTGTTTTAAAAGGCGTTTTCAGGACGAGCCTTGGGACGAGGCGTACTAAAAATGCCCTGAGGCGCAGGTGTAGGGCAAAAATTTCAAGATGTGTACGTCAAACGGGCGTTTGATGCGAGTTTTTGTAGTGAGACGTAAGCCTCAGAGATTTTTTTAAACTAAAACTAAATTTGATGAATAAGTCATTCATATAATACCCAAATTCTCAAAAGTCAACTTGTAATTACTCAAAAGTTTTAAAAGAGAACTGAAATACTAAATTTAAAAGTCAAGACCTTTATTGATAGAAGCCCTAATTTATGGTCCGCTAGTTTGCTACTATCTCCCACAAGCAAAAATAGTCAATTTTTTATTTTTATTTTTTGCAAATACAAAGAGAACTTCATTCTCCTTCATAGCAGCAAGTTCAAAATTCAAATTGTAGGTTTGTCATCCTTCATGCATATAGAAAACTTTATTCTTTTCAACTCAAGTTACTTGTCCATATAAGTAATGTAAGCACGTAATTTTTGACCCGCACATCAGAATTATCTTTAACAGTCTTAAAATTTTTAGAATATTTATTTAAGTTTATTTCTATAGGATTTCACTTTATTATTAATTTTAATTCTAGTTTTAAAGCTCAAAAATTAAAAAATACAAATAACTAGTTTCATATAGTTTGCACTTTAAGAGTTGAAATCCCAAATTTTGAGCACAAACTTGGCCACTAAAGGCTCAAATCTGGGCCCAACTCGCTCAAGCCCATACCCACTCCCCATTTGATCTAATCTAATTCCTACTCCCTACAAAAGGAGACTCACCCACCTCCACCCGAAGACCGGCCGCACCTCCCCAAAAATGGAGAACTCTCAATCGTATCTCTTCTCTCAACTAAGAGACAACAGCCACCCTCTCATCTCTCTCGATCGAGCCTAACTCCACCCCACTGAATCTCTCGACCAGCCGACGCCCAACCTTATTCTGCCTCTGCCATTGCCCAGCAACCATTATCCAAAATTCGTTGTTGCCGAACATCCACCAAACAACCTCGAGTTTGTCCCAAGACCAACATGAAAAATTCAATGAAACATTATCGAAAAGAAGCTCAAAGCATCCATAAAGCTCACTCCAAAATTACTGAAACGCTATAATGTTTGTCCAAGGTTCAGTTAGTTGAGTTCGATCGATTTCGAGGTCGCCGACGCAGTTCATTAGCTTGATCCAAATCTTGTTGTGTTTTACGCACTAAATTCGTTTAGAGCATTTTGTTAATGAAATCAGAAAGTTTTCACATCATTAAAGCCTTCATTTGGCGTCTTCTGTTTATTCTCGCACAACTAGGTATTTATTCTCAATCTATATACTCAAATTTTATGCTGATTTGGATCCTGGTTGTGCCATTAAACTTGTTGATTTTGATTTCACATGTTATATCTATTTTATTACATGGATTGGTGTTGAATTGAATTTATAGTTCTGTCATCCATCGTTGAACACATGATGTGTTACTTGAGATTTAATGATTGTGATTTACACATATTTTTACATGCTGTCAATGTGAAATCTGGGAAAAAACAGGAACAAAATGACTTCACGTAGTAACAAAAAAATGTGATTCTAATAGCTATGAACTGTTTTGGCAAGCATTTGTATTGTCTCCGATAGTTCGTTTAAGTGATTAATCGNATTGTGCCATTAAACTTGCTGATTTTGATTTCACATGTTATATCTGTTTTATTACATGGATTGGTGTTGAATTGAATTTATAGTTCTGTCATCCATCGTTAAACACATGATGTATTACTTGAGATTTAATGATTGTGATTTACACATATTTTTACATGCTGTCAATGTGAAATCTGGGGAAAAACATGAACAAAATGACTTCACGTAGTAACAAAAAAATGTGATTCTAATAGCTATGAACTGTTTTGGCAAGCATTTGTGTTGTCTCCGGTAGTTCGTTTAAGTGATTAATCGACTATCGTAATTGTGTACATGTTCATGTGACATGATTATGATTCCCAAAAATAAATCAAAGTACTCGTTCGCGCGACTTTGGCCAAATAATTTTGATAATTAAATAAAGCGCGATTAATTATGTACACGTACGCGTGACATGATTTTAGCGCCCAAAATAAAACGAATTCACGCACACGTGATTTGTTTCAAAGATAATTCCATATTTTAATAATTAAAAGCGGATAGATAAAATATAAAAACTAATAAAATACAGTTTATCCAAAAATAATATAAGCCAAATGTAGTCAACAAAGCGACTGTGCTAAAACCACGGGGCTCAGGGAATGCCTTACACCTTCTCCCCGGTCAACAGAATTTCTTACCCGGTCTTCTGGTTTTTGCAGACTTTAAACCGAGTCAATTTCCTCGATTTGAGATTTAAAATAAAATGGTGACTTGGGACACCATAATTATCCCAAGTGGCGACTCTGATTAAATAAATAATCTCATTTTGATTAATGTCACTTTAATTGGAAAAACTCTTTAACCCACAATAATCCATAACATATATATTTTTTGGGGCAAAAAGGGGTGTGACAACTCTAGCGACTTTGGTGGTGACTTTTAAGAATTTGAGCTTGTACATTGACTTTATTTGGCTTTATTAATTTTTGTATATACTGTGATTTATTTGGGCTTAATGTGCTATTTGTCCGCTTTTTACCGCTTTGATATTGTTGAATTGTACTTATAAATTATTTTCTCATGCACCCCTCTGAGTCTTCTTGAAATTAACTTGGGCATTTGCTTGACATAGCCCGCTTTTTTTGAGGTAGCCGAGGTGCTTGTCACCCGATGAAGGATTTTAGTCACACATATTTTAGGCGGGGAGCACCACCAGCTAAGCCGGAAAGCAATGCTACCGGTACGCTGATCCTCCTCGGCTCGATTTGTCCGCTCGAGTAAGCCAGTCTAGATACACCTCATCTCCTAAGAGTCTTAAAACCTATAAGAACAAGCTACATGCCTGGTTATCCCTAGTAGGATCGTTTTGTTACATCATGTGCACTTGACTTAGCGAAGCTCGGCACAGGGCCGAGTCCGTATAAGACAAGTATCCTTTTTGAGACCATCATGTTCAATTTTGTGCTACTTGATACATCATTTGTAAGGCTTGCTTGCATTGTTGACTGGCTTTAGAAATTAGTTGAGTGAAATTATTAAAAAATAAAATAAAATCATTTTCCTAGTTTGGTACAAATAATAGTTTTTGCCCCTCGGGGTAGAGGTAAGGTCTGCGTACATATTACCCTCCCCAGACCCCACTTGTGGGATTACACTGGGTTGTTGTTGTTGTTGTTGTTGGTACAAATAATAGTTTTTACTAAAATTTTGTAGTAGTCTGGCGAGTGGTGTAAAGATTAATTTTCATAAAAATCAAAAAGAGAAATAGTCGGTTTGACCGAACTACGCAGGTCTGATTCTCACCGGATGTGAGATACGTAGGCAAACCTCATCGGTTCCGGCCCCAATTTTTAAAAATCCAAAAATATTTTCCTTCAATTCCTTCTTTATAAGTTTTTCTTTGAGACGTCAAATCCAAAATTATTTTCTTACTTTTAATATAAAAAAAAAAGACTTTCTTCCTAAAATTCAAATAAATAAAAACTCAAAAATCCAAAAATATTTTCTGTCTTATTAAATTTACAAAAAAACAAAACTAAATTTTTTTTTTCTTTTTTAAAAAAAGTCTTTCTTTCGAAAATTCCAAAAAGAAAAAAAAATCTATCTTTAGAAGTTGTGTTTCAAAAAAAAACACGAAAAAACAAAATACAAAATATTTTTATGTTAGGAGCTTTTATGGGATTATCTGTATATGAGTAAAAAAATGAGTTAGTTTATTTACTTTATTCTTGATTTGATCGAACTACGCGGGTCTGATTCTCACCGGATGTGAGATACGTAGGCAATCCCTATCGGATTCGATCATTGCCACTAAATAAACTGAAAAAAAGAAAGAAAAACAAAGAGCGCAAAAAAAAAAAAGAGTGAAAGATCCAAAAAGAGAACTATGTGTCCAGCTTGACCAAGAGACAGCGGAAAGTTTCAGTGAATATGCTGTCAAATGGCACGAGCAAGCCGCCAAGGTAAAGCCTCTAATGGATGAAGCAGAAATGGTTATGGTCTTCCTAGAGGCCCATGAGGCGGACTACTTCCAGAACATGATGTCCGCTATGAGTAATCTGTTCGCCAAGGCTATCAAAATTAGGGAGAGAGTCGAAAATGGTTTAAAACGGGCAAAATCTTGAGCCATGCTACCTTTAAGGCCACATCACAGACCGATCAGAATGGTTCGAGGGGTTTTGATGAACAGAAACGGGAGAGAAGAGGGAGCCATGATGTCTTCTAGCTCGAGGTGGGCCCGCAGGTCATTCAACCAATCATATATGCTTCCTAAGGTCCCACAACACTATTATCTCCATCAAGATACTACTTATACCGTGGCACCGCCTCCCTATACAGTGATGAACGTGCAACCTTACATGCGGCCACAATATTATACATAAAACCGAGCTCCACCTCCCAGAAATGTCTGTCCTTACCAAGCTCCATACAATCCCAACCAAATGTTCCCCAATACAATCCTCGCCTAAGAGAGCCCCTCAAAAGGAATCAGTTCACCCCTTTGGTGAATCATATTCAAGTTTGTTTCAAAAGGCAATTGGGTTAGGTCTGATGCAGCCAGTGGAACCGAACCGGCCAAACCCCGAGTCCCTCTCGCACCAAGTTGATGCTAGATGTGATATACTATGGAGCTGTGAGACACGATACTGAGGACTATTTGGACCCTCAAGAGGGCAGTTGAAGACTTGATTAAAGTCGAAAGAATCATTCTTCGGGACGAAGAAGCTCTTGATGTGATGAACAATCTATTGCCTGCTCACAACACTGGGCCAGTCATTGTAATGATCTATGATGAATAGGATTTTGATCTGGCACTAAAGGCCATGACAACCATTGCCGAGATAGAAGAAAAGCAAAAAAGCAAAAAAAAGAAAGTTCGCCAAACCTGAAATGTTCTCTGTCAGAATTATCTTTAACAGTCTTAATATTTTTAGAATATTTATTTAAGTTTATTTCTATAGGATTTCACTTTATTATTAATTTTAATTCTAGTTTTAAAGCTCAAAAATTAAAAAATACAAATAACTAGTTTCATATAGTTTGCACTTTAAGAGTTGAAATCCCAAATTTTGAGCACAAACTTAGCCACTAAAGCCCCAAATCTAAGCCCAACTCGCTCAAGCCCATACCCACTCCCCATTTGACCTAACCTAATTCCTACTCCCTACAAAAGGAGACTCACCCACCTCCACCCGAAGACCGGCCGCACCTCCCCAAAAATGGAGAACTCTCAATCGTATCTCTTCTCTCAACTAAGAGACAACAGCCACCCTCTCATCTCTCTCGATCGAGCCTAANACTCACCCACCTCAACCCAAAGACCGGCCGTACCTCACCAAAAATGGAGAACTCTCCATCGTATCTCTTCTCTCAACTGAGAGACAACAACCACCATCTCATCTCTCTCGATCGAGCTTAACTCCACCTCACTGAATCTCTCGACCAGCCGACGCCTAACCTTATTCTGCCTCTGCCATTGCCCATCAATCGCCGTCCAAAACTCGCTGCTGTCGAATAGCCACCAAACAACCTCGAGTCTGTCCCAAAACCAGCATGAAAAATCCAATGAAACACTATCGAAAAATAGCTCAAAGCATTCATAAAGCTCACTCCAAAATCACTAAAATACCATAATGTTTGTCCAAGGTTCAGTTAGTTGAGTTAGATCGATTTCGAGGTCGCCGACGCGGTTCATTAGCTTGATCCAAATCTTGTTGTGTTTTACGCACTAAATTCGTTTGGAGCATTTTGTTAATGAAATCAGAAAGTTTTCACATCATTAAAGCCTTCATTTGGCGTCTTCTGTTTATTCTCGCACAACTAGGTATTTATTCTCAATCTATATACTCAAATTTTATGCTGATTTGGATCCTGGTTGTGCCATTAAACTTGTTGATTTTGATTTCACATGTTATATCTATTTTATTACATGGATTGGTGTTGAATTGAATTTATAGTTCTGTCATCCATCGTTGAACACATGATGTGTTACTTGAGATTTAATGATTGTGATTTACACATATTTTTACATGCTGTCAATGTGAAATCTGGGAAAAAACAGGAACAAAATGACTTCACGTAGTAACAAAAAAATGTGATTCTAATAGCTATGAACTGTTTTGGCAAGCATTTGTATTGTCTCCGATAGTTCGTTTAAGTGATTAATCGACTATCGTAATTGTGTACATGTTCACGTGACATGATTATGATTCCCAAAAATAAATCAAAGTACTCGTTCGCGCGATTTTGGCCAAACAATCTTGATAATTAATAAAGCGCGATTAATTATGTACACGTACGCGTGACATAATTTTAGCGCTCCAAATAAAACGGATTCACGTACACGTGATTTGTTTCAAAGATAATTTCATATTTTAATAATTAAAAGCGGATAGATAAAATATGGAAACCAATAAAACACAGTTTATCCAAAAATAATATAAGCCAAATGTAGTCAATAAAGCGACCGTGCTAAAACCACGGGGCTCAGGGAATGCCTTACACCTTCTTCCTAGTCAACAGAATTCTTTACCCGGTCTTTTGGTTTTTCCAGACTTTAAACCGAGTCAAATTTCCTCGATTTGAGATTTAAAATAAACTGGTGACTTGGGACACCATAATTATCCCAAGTGGCGACTCTTATTAAATAAATAATCCAATTTCGATTAATGTCACTTTAATTGGAAAAACTCTTTAACCCATAACAATCCATAACACATATATCTTTTGGGGCAAAAAGGGGTGTGACAAGTAACGTTTAATAGGTTGTCTTGACTATTTTTTTTTTTGGTGGGGATGGAGCACATCTCTATATATATATTCACATATTTATGATTTTCTTCAATTTTTATACAATTTTATCTATTTATAAATATTTACTGTAATTATATTATTTTACGAAATATCAAAAATTAAATACCCATGGGGCTTACACCCCATGCCTCAGGGCTTACGTCTCACTGAGGTATATGTAAAACGCATTGTCTTACGCCCACATCTTTTAAAACAATGGTTCTGACTAGATGAACAATGCCTCTTTTTATTTGGTAGTACTACTGTTTTTTTAGTCCTCGTATAATGTTAGAACTATTTTAAGTTCTCTTTGTTTTAAGATTTTTTTATACATTGGTCATTTTCATAAATTTATTAGGAGTTCTTTTCTTTTTTCTTTTTCCCTCAGTGTATTACGCAATCTCAAATGCTTTGAATATCTTAATCGGGTTTTCAAATTCTTTTTTAATTCAAAAGAAACTGTTAAAACAAAAAAGATAGCTGACCAGCTAATAAAACCTTGACGCAATGGCTATTTCCAACTTTTGTTATATTCCATGTATCAGTTTATGACTAGCTAATAAAACCTTGTATCAGTTCCTCAATTGTAATGGTTAGTCCTCAGTTCCAACTACTTATATTTGCAATTTTACCGATTTACTTAATTGACTTTTACATGCATACACATGAAAATTTCAATTCTTCTATCTTAGCTAATTCTAAAAATAAATTATTTTTAAATTCATTGGCGGAGATTTCAATGGCTATATTGGGGCTAATGCTAGGGGTTCTGATGATGTGCACGACGGGTTCGGTTTTGGGAACAAGAATGAGGGAGGTACTTCACAGTTGGATTTTGCTAGAACTTTTGATTTGGTTATAGCTAACTCGAGTTTCCCGAAGAGGGAAGAGCACCTGGTCACTTTCCGAAATTCGATGGGCAAGACTCAGATTGATTATCTTCTTTACAGAAAATGCGGTAAAGGTTTGTACACTGATTCCAAGGTCATCCCAAGTGAGCACCTCACGACCCAACATAGGCTCCTAGTTATGGACAAGGAGATCAAGAAGAGTAGGAGGAAGAGGGTGGTGTGCAGGAAACCTAAGATCAAGTGGGGTAACTTGACCGAGGACAAAGCTCAGGAGTTAGGGGAGAAGTTATTGGCTATGAGGGTCTGGATGAGTAGGGAGGACGAGTCTAGTATGTGGATCACGACTGTAAATTGCATTAGGGAAGCTGCTAGAGAGGTCTTAGGGGTCACGAAGGGCTTTCCTGGGGGTCATAAAGGAGACTGGTGGTGGAATGGAGAGGTCCAAGGTAAAGTGAAAACTAAGAAAGCTGCATATTTAAAGCTAATGGGGAGTACAAACGAGGAGGAAAGAAGGACTTATCAGGAGTGTTACAAAAAGGCAAAGAAAGAGGCAAAGGTAGCAGTTACGACGGCTAAGAACGCGTCGTTTGCTGTTTGTACAAGGAGCTCGGGGGAAAGACGGGGACAAGAAGTTGTACCGATTGGCCAAGGTGAGGGAGAGGAAGGCCCGTGACTTAGACCAAGTCAAGTGCATCAAGGACGATGAGGGAAAAGTATTGATGGACGAGGCACTTATTAGAAGAAAATGGCATACATACTTCCATAAACTGTTGAATGAGGAGGGGGATAAAAGCATTGTGTTGGGTGAGTTGGAGCACTCCGAGAGTCGACATGATTTTGGGTACGGTAGGAGGATTAAGGTAGAGGAGGTGGAGGCGGCGATGCGTAAGATGTGCAGGGGTAGAGTGACGGGGCTAAACGAAATTCCGGTAGAATTCTGGTAGAGCGCGGGACGAGCAGGCTTGGAGTGGTTCACTGTGCTGTTTAATGTTATTTTCAAGACGAAGAAGATGCCTGAAGAATGGAGGTGGAGTACGATAGTTCCGCTGTACAAAAACAAGGGTGATATCCAAAATTGCAATAATTATATGGGTATCAAGCTGTTGAATCACACTATAAGGGTTTGGGAGAGGGTGGTGGAGGCCAGGGTGAGGAAGTGCGTGTCTATTTCCGAGAATCAGTTTGGATTCATGCTGGGGCGTTCGACTACGGAAGCGATTCATCCGGTGAGGAAGTTAGTGGAGCAGTACATGGAGAGGAAGAATGACTTGCATATGGTGTTCATTGACCTTGAGAAAACGTACAATAAAGTTTCGAGAGATATTTTGTGGAGGTGTTTGGAGGCTAGTAGCGTTCCGGTAGCGTACATTAGGGTGATATGTATGATGGTGCTAGGGTGAGGACTGTTGGAGGTGACTCGGTGCATTTCCCTGTTGTGATGGGGTTGCACCAGGGACCGTCTCTTAGCCCGTTTTTATTTGCCTTGCCGATGGATGTACTGTCGTGACTCATCCAAGGGGAGGTGCCTTGGTGCATGCTATTTGCCGATGATATAGTATTGATTGACGAGACGCGAAGCGGAGTTAACGCGAGGTTGGAGGTTTGGAGACAAACCTTGGAGTCTAAAGGTTTCAAGTTGAGTAGAACCAAAACAAAATACTTGGAGTGCAAATTCAGTGACGACACCAATGAAACAAACATAGAGGCAAAGTTTGATGCTCGAGTTATCCCCAAAATAGCTAGTTTTAAGTATCTCGGGTCTATTATCCAAGGTAACGAGAATATTAACGAAGATGTCGCACATCGCATCGGAGCGGGATAGATGAAATGGAGGCTCGCGTCCAGTATTTTATGTGATAAGAATATGCCGCCAAGACTTAAGGTTAAGTTTTATAGAGTGGTGGTTCGACTAACTATGCTGTATGGGGCTGAGTATTGGTCAGTCAAGAACTCCCACGTGCAGAAGATGAAAGTAGCAGAGATGAGGATGTTGAGATGGATGTGTGAGTGTACCAGGAGAGATAAGATTAAGAATGAAGCTATCCGGGACAGAGTGGGAGTAGCCTCCGTGGAGGACAAGATGCGGCAGTCGAGACTGAGATGGTTCAGACATGTTAAGAAGAGAAGTATTGATGCTCCTATTAGGAGGTGTGAGAGGTTGGCCATGGCGAGTTTGAGAAGAGGTCCAGGTAGGCCTAAGAAGTACCGGGGATAGGTGATTAGACAGTGCATGACGTTGCTTCAGCTCACTAAGGACATGACCCTTGATAGGAGGGCATGGAAGTCGAGGATTAAGGTAGAAGGTTAGTGGGTAGTTTCTTAGTTGCTCACCGATAGTCTTAGTAGCACGCATGTCCCTTCATATTCTTAGATTTTTATTGCGTTATGTGGTTTTGTTCGCCTTAGGTATTGTATCCCTTGTTACTATTATTTGGCACTACTTATCCTTTATCTCCCTCTTTTTCTTCTCTCTTCCTTTCTTACTTTCTTCTTTTTCTTCTTCTTCTTTTCACCCTTTCCGAGTCGAGGGTCTATTGGAAACAATCTCTCTACCTGCATTAGGTAGGGGTAACGTCTGCGTACATACTACCCTCCCCAGATCCCAACATGTTGGGAACATACTGAGTTTGTTGTTGTTGTTATTGTAGTTTTAAATTCATTAATGGGTCGAACGAAATACAGACAAATTCACTAGTTAAGTTGATAAAATAATAAAAACTTGACGGAAATTTGGTTGGGCAGTAATTAATCTTTTCACTTAAAACTTTCTTTTCATGTGTAAGAAGTTCAAAAGTGGATTTAATACTTAATATTAGTTTTCCAAAGGCATGAAAGAGTCGGCAATACAATCACATCTACCAATACATTTCAATATTAGAGAGGACACATATAGGTATAGTGTTTTGACCAAAAAAAATTAAAGTTAAAATAAAGTCAACATTTCATGTACAAAAAAGTCAACTTTTAGTAAATTTATAGGCATACTCAAACAATAGCTGATGACTTATTTACATACACGTGTTTCGCGAATACGAACTCATTAAAGCTTACCTATTTAATAGACCAAAAAGCATACATGAACAATGATGACTAATGTCCAACAATGAAAATTCTCACCCCCTACTAATAAAAAAAAATTAAAATAAAACTTTTCAATACCATTTGACCACAGTAATCCTAATTATGATGATATTAAAAATGTAACGCATTACAATGTAACTCTCCAATGAATCTCGTATTAATAGATACATGTACTAGATTTGTGAAAAGTTAATGCCTTTTTCCTTTAAAAAAGATCCAAAATTTCCTGAAATTATTTACATCTAATTATACAGATTACCTGTAACTAGTTAAATAGGTAAGCCTTTTTCCTTCTAAAGGATCTTCACACAAATAGCTAGTCGAATTTATTATTTTTTTTTATTTATCAAATATATATAAATTATATAATAACTATACATAATTATACATAAAATATATATATATATTATATATTTGTCAACTATTTTAAATTTAAACGCTCCTATTTAAGTTAATTATTCTTTGGGGGAGGGCTAGAGAAAGAAATTTGGTGCAATTCATGAAAGTAGCCGTTACTGCACATGGTCCCATTGGTACATTTAACTTTAGAACATTTTATAGAAACTAAAAAATGAAAAAAAGTAACGTAACAAAACCCAATAAAAGCAAGAAAATCTCTCTTACTACATTAAACAATTCCATTAAAATACTTTCTTTACAAAACAGATCACATTCAAGTCACCTTGCCCCCCATAATAGCCATTTTTCAGATGTTTCTTTTTTCATGTACCTCTCTTTGTCAGTTTCTGCTTTTATCATCTTTCTTTAATTATTAAAACAGACCCTGTTGATCTTCTATTCAACTGTCCTTTTGAATTCTTTAATTCACAGTTCCATTTTCTGATAAGAATTCTCTCTTCTTTGGCAAGTCCAAGAAGTACTTTCATCAGTCACAGAGTACGAATCTCTACACCCTTTTCTTAGTTTTAGGTAATGGTCTGTTTGTTCATTTTGTTATTTTTAGCTTGTCCTATATCCACATTATATGTAAATATTTATATGTGAAAATTTGCAACTTGTTCATGTGTTGTTGTAATGCCAAGATTGCATCTTTTTAAGGAGCTATGGAAAATATTGCTCCTTTATAGTAGTTCCAGAATTGGGTTGATTTTACAAAAACAACAACCTACCCAGTATTATTGCACACTGTGGGATTGAGTTGATTTTGTTTCAGATTTTTATTTGGTACAAATTGTTCATTATTTTCAGTTATAAGATATTTTCTGTACCAATGGGGTAATAGAAGAATATAGGAGCAAAACAAAATGCTGTGAAGCTGGAATCTTTCTTTGGCAATAGTCAACTGTCAATTGAAACCTGGTCTTTTAGTCCTAGAATATGTTGGCGGGGAGTCTTTTGTCTTATTTTGGAATAACTAATATTTAATTGTAGGAAAATTTCATTGGATAGAACAATTTGAAATTATTGACAGTTGAAAGCTAGTTTCAGGTTTCTGGAATTTGGTACATTTTAATTATGTGTTGTTCTAAATTTAAATGATGGTAACTCGAGAATGAGTCTACATTCATGACTTATAGGATGTTGATTTACGAGGATTCGATGGATGAGGGGGGGAATGTTGATTTACAAGGTTTCAATTTATATGAAGATAACTTGAGTTGGATATCCTCAGATTATTCCAGAATGAAGGTAAACATGGCTAAGAGTGGATAATGAACAAAGGAAATAAGAATGGCATTTTCATTGCTTAGCTATTTCTTTGGGTGGTGAACTGCTTCATCTTACACGCAATTTCTGCTGTGAGTTATTGAGAAGCAAACTAGTGTGTTGAGAGGCCCTTATATTTAGGGTAAAAGATGACATTGATGAAGCAGGTCCTAAATGGGTCAATTTGAATTGATCCAGCTCTAGATGTTTATATGTAGTAATTAAGTCAGTGATGGATCCCACCGGGGGCACAGGTAGTTGCAACGACTGCGATCTCAAGATGTTGTGAATTTAGTGTTTCTTCTTTAGAACTTTTGGTAAATTTTTACAGAAGGCTTAGCACTAGTTCCTTGGAGTGAACAACCATAACACCCTTTCTACGAATGTATTAGCATAATCCAGGACCAAGTATTTTGCAATGTTCGAGAGAGGAGAGTTATTATAGAATGTTATTCTTGAAATTTGGGATTTGATCATGCTAAAAATGTTAAACAAGTTGTTCCAAGAAATGTGATTTACATGGAGTATGGTTGATTATCGTCAAATACGATACAATGTGAGTACACGGACACAAACTACTCACTCCTTTCAGAAGGAATGCTGTGAAGATAACACCCTTTCTACGAATGTATTAGCATAATCCAGGACCAAGTATTTTGCAATGTTCGAGAGAGGAGAGTTATTATAGAATGTTATTCTTGAAATTTGGGCTTTGATCATGCTAAAAATGTTAAACAAGTTGTTCCAAGAAATGTGATTTACATGGAGTATGGTTGATTATCGTCAAATACGATACAATGTGAGTACACGGACACAAACTACTCACTCCTTTCAGATACTATGAGTGTGAGGGTTAAGAAGGAATGCTGTGAAAAAGTAGATAGCAAAAGGAGCTAGTATAGCCTTATCCAATTCTATTTTATAAATAAACGTGATCATAACTTTAGTTGGCTAGACTGTTAAGGTGATTACTTTTAAGAGCAGTGTTTTTTTCATGCCTCATCCATGAGTTCCTTGGCTTATGTTCATGGTTTATCTTAGTGCATTCATGAGTTTTGTGCTTTCCTTTCGCTTTCTTTTTTCCCAAGGTTCCATTGACACCTCTATTATTTTTCTCAATCTGTTGTTGGCAAAGAATTTTACTGAGATTCAATTTAGAGATCTTGATTTGGTTGTCAATGTAAAGGGGGATAGTTTGCTCTAGAGACCAATCTCATAATTGAAAACGTGGGATGAAATCTTTCCTCCACAATAATTTAACATGGGGATAGCTTAGTTTCTTGTTTGGCATAAAGGTTTTCTCATTCATGAATGTGTAGTGTACTAATCCCATTGTTGAAACTTGACTCAAATGTATGTTATATATTGTTTCTGATAGGATTCTTCTTGACATATTTATCTCACTAAAGAGTTCTAATATTGCAGAAAAGTCTTTGAAGCAGAAACATGGCCAGTCTGAGTGATATAGGTGTCGCAGCTGCTATTAACATTCTGAGTGCATGTATTTTTTTAATTGCATTTGCAATCCTTCGAATACAACCTGTCAATGATAGGGTATACTTCCCGAAATGGTACCTAAAGGGTCTAAGAAGCAGTCCTTTGCACTCGGGTACGATTGTCAACAAGTTTGTGAACTTGGATTTCCGTGCATACCTGAAGTTTCTGAATTGGATGCCTGCTGCATTGCAAATGCCAGAACCGGAGCTTATTGACCACGCAGGATTGGACTCTGCTGTCTACTTGAGGATTTATTTGATAGGGTATCTTCACTTGGCACTTTCACTTCTTGTTTTCCATTTTCTGTATTAAGGTATAACTACGGAGCAGCATATCTTTGTCACATTATGCCCAGGACACCGATTCAAACTGCAAGCACACACTAGGGAATATGATGACCAAAATTTTAGACAGGGACCTCTTTTTACCCACATAATATTGAAAATCATTCATGAAACTTGAGTTTTATGACCATTGTGTATATTATAATTATCCCCCGTACATTGGAATCTTATTTGAATCATGATTACCATGTTTCAAGTTTTTAGATACCTTGTGACTAGCTTATAGTTGCTTTCTATATTCCATGTCTATTTGGAAAATCCTTAAATATGTTTTCTTATGCCAGATAACAGCTTTGCCTATCCCTCCATTTGTTTCGACATTTTTCTTTGGTCACAGAAATATTTAAAAGCTAACCTATTTTTTCAAGAAATTGCTATATGGCCTTTAACTCTTTTTATGATGATAATCATCTTGAAAATAGACCTCAAGCACTTAGAACACTTGAAAGATGTAATAGTTTTCTATTTTGAATGAAAATCTTTAGCACACATCAATATGAGCAACTAAAATATTGCGTGGCTAATCATATCATACCTCGAAGAGTGAGTAATGATGTAATCTATTGCTGATAAATGTACTTCCAATAAACAATATGAGTAGATAATTAATTCAAATTAGCATAACAGTTTTTCTTTTGGCATTGGGAATCCTGCCTAATGATGTGGCTATTGTTAACTTTTTAGGAACCATATCAGAATCTTTTTGGATAACCAGTGGCTTCTGTCTCTTATCTCTGTTTCTAGCATACTTAATATCAATAATCCCAGGGCTTATGAAAGCCAGAATATATTGTCTTTAATAGCTTAATGAGTAGTTGTTTGTTCCTTCCCCACTCCGCTTTTCATTGTACATTCCTTTTGGTTCAATGCAGGCTTAAAATATTTGTCCCAATTGCTTTTATTGCTTTCTCAGTCATGGTTCCGGTTAATTGGACCAATCGTACATTGGAGCGTTCTAATTTGACTTACAGTGACTTAGACAAGCTTTCAATTTCAAATATTCCTCTGGGATCACAGAGGTAAGCAAAATATTCATTGCTGTATAGATTGCAATTGTTCTTTCTGAAATTGATAGGCCTTTTTTTTCCTTTTAACTTTTCCATTAGTTTTCTTTGACAATTCTAAAGATGTTCCTGGTTTCACTTATGTCATGTGCTCCTTTTTAAGATACCAGTGTCCTTAAGTCTCTTTGATACTTGTCAAGTCCTTAAAAATTAGAAGCTCCTGATTGCTTGGTCCCACTGTAAGTATTCAAAGTATGTTAATCTTCTAATAAATGTAATTTGAAGGGAATTTCATAGAGAATTTACTTTAAAATTCCAAAACGAATCAAATATACGAGCTGAGAAACCCCATGACATGGCAGCACACTGTAAAAGAAGAAAAGAAATCGTAGCATATAAAGCCTGCCATATTTAACATATTGTATTCGAATAAAGTAGAGTGCCTACATAATTTATGCACGTAAGGAGATATCAAAGTGTCTTACCAAAATGAGATTCCTTCTGTGTGCATCAAAAGCTCTTTAAGACATCTCACTACAGATGGCCGCAAAATGACTAGTCTGGGTAGTTTAATTGGTCAACAGTTCATTATGTACATTATATATTGATCAACTTCTGTTCTAACTAAAAACTATTGGACATATCATGCTTGCCGAAATTATTGAATGCGGAAAGAGAGAAAGTAATCCAATATTGATTTTTATATTGTGAGAAAGCACGAGAGAAAATATATTATTGATATTCGATACTCAATACAATACAAGAGGTCCTTATTTATAGCTATACTCTACAAGGACATATTACTCATATTCCAATGTGGGACAAGACTACATTATGTACATATCTGTAAACTAACACTCCCCCTCAAGCCGGTGCATACAAATCATATGTACCGAGCTTGTTACATATATAACCAATACGAGGACTAGTGAGAGACTTGGTAAAAATATCTGTAAGTTGATCATTCGACCTCACAAACTTTGTAGCAATCTCTCCTGAAAGTATCATTTCTCTGACGAAGTGACAATCAATCTCAATGTGTTTAGTTCTCTCATGGAACACTGGATTTGATGCAATATGAAGGCGACTTGATTATCGCACACAAGTTCCATCCGACTGATTTCACCAAATTTCAATTCCTTGAGCAATTGTTTGGTCCAGACTAGCTCACATGTTGCCATAGCCATTGCTCGATATTCTGCTTCTGCACTAGACCGAGCAATTACATTCTGTTTCTTGCTATTCCAAGACACCAAATTTTCTCCTACTAAAACACAATATCCAGACTTAGAACGTCTATCAGAAGGTGATCCTGCCCAATCAGCATCTGAGTATCCAACGATCTGTTCATGACCTCGATTCTCAAACAGTAACCCTTTGCCTGGAGCCGATTTTATATACCGAATAATGCGGACAACTGCATCCCAATGACTATCAAAGGGAGAATTCATAAACTGACTTACATGATAAGAAATGTCGGGTCTAGTCACTGTGAGATAATTTAACTTACCAAATAGCTGCCTATAACTTGCACGATTGCTAAGCGGCTCCCCCTGTCCTGGCAGAAGCTTAGAATTCGGATCCACCGGAGTGTCAACAGGTTTGCAACCTATCATCCCTGTCTCCTCAAGAATGTCTAAGGCATATTTTCTTTGAGAAATAACAATACCTGAGCTAGAGTGAGCAACTTCAATACCTATAAAGTACTTCAATTTGCCTAGATCCTTAGTTTGAAAGTGCTGGAAGAGATGCTGCTTCAGATTGATAATACCATCCTGATCATTGCCAATAATAACAATATCATCAATATAGACTACCAGATAAATACAGAGACTTGAAGTAGAGTGCCGATAAAACACAGAGTTATTAGCTTCACTACGAGTCATGCCAAACTCCTGGATAACCGTGCTGAACTTACCAAACCAGGCTCGAGGAGACTGCTTCAGACCATAAAGTGACCGACGCAAGCGACATACAAGGTCACGAGACTCCCCTGAGCAACAAAACTAGGTGGTTGCTCCATATAAACCTCATCCTCAAGATCACCATGAAGAAAAGACATTCTTAATGTCCAGCTGATAGAGAGGCCAATGACGAACCGCAGCCATGGATAGAAAAAGGTGGACTGATGCGACTTTAGCCACGGGAGAGAAGGTATCACTGTAATCGAGCCCAAATATCTGAGTATATCCTTTGGCAACATGACGGGCCTTAAATCGATCAACCTGGCCATCGGGACCAACTTTGACTGCATAAACCCAATGACAACCAACAGTAGATTTACCTGAAGGAAAAAGGAACAAGCTCCCAAGTACCACTTGTATGTAAAACAGACATCTCGTCACTCATAACCTGTCGCCATCCTGGATGAGACAACGCTTCACCTGTAGACTTAGGGATGGAAACCGAGGACAAAGAAGATATAAAAGCGTAATGGGGAGATGACAAACGATGATAACTTAAACCGACATAATAGGGATTAGGATTAAGTGTGGTCCGTATACCTTTCCGAAGTGCAATCAGTGTACTAGGAAGAGACAAGTCCGCAGTAGGAGCAGGGTCAGTCGCAGGACGAGAACCAGTGGGGCCTGATGTAGGGTGCGGACGACGATGATAAGTCAAGAGTGGTGTTCCTGTGGCTGGGGATCTAGGAGGAACAACACTAGACTCCTCAACGGTTGGTATGGGTGAAACTTCTGTGGTCGAAGGTGGATGAGGAGCTATAGTAAACTCCTCAAAGGTCGGTATAGGTAAGACCTCAGATATATCATGGTGGTAGAAGGGACATTGTGTAGACTGGTATATCGGTATAGTAAACTAACAGATGCAAGACTAAAAGAACAGCCAGGGACATAAAGAACGGAATCTAGGGTGATAGAAGATAAGAGATTAGCTTGTCCAACTTCTTTTGCCTTAGTTTGACATCCATTGGCTAAAGTAACCGTGGGAAGAGACTGTGAATATACAATATTCGACAAAAGTGATATATTACCAGAGATGTGATCAGAAGCGCCTTAGTCCATGACCCATGGTCCAAGAGTACTAGACTGGGAAATACCATGTAAGGAATGGCACATTTCACGAGTGTGTCCAAGTTTGTGACAATAAGAACACTTGGGTCTAGATCTTCCAAAACGACCTCCTCCTCGTCTATTCTCCATAGTTTGAGACGCCCGAACATCCACTGTCTGGGATTCGAGAACAGAGGAATCAAGTATTTGTGATGAGATCACTAGGTGACTTGGTCCTACAGCAAGACGGAGTAATCGAGAGAATAATTCATTAACTGTGGGGACAGTCAGACTAGCCAAAATCTGGTCGCGTACTGAATCAAGATCATTAGGAAGTGCAGCGAGGGTAAGAACTAGAAACATCTTCTGTCGATGCTCTTGTTGTTTTTCAACACTAGCAGAAACTGGTATCAACTTCTCAATTTCTCCATGACTGCCTATACTTGACCCAAGTAAGTAGACATATCTAATTCCTGCTTCTTTAAGTCTATCATCCGCGATATCACATCATAGCAGCGGGATATGTCATTAGTGTATAAGGTACGAGCCTTTGCCCAAACCAAATAACATGTCTGGAATGGACGAAACAAGGGCATCAACTTGGAATCAATAGATCGCCACAAGATGCTACATAACTGAGCATTGATCTTTGCCCAAAGTGCTATCGCCTTTTCATCTCCTTCGCTAGACCGTTTGATTAGATGATCTTGAACACCTTGATCTTTACACCATAACTCGACAGATGAAGCCCAAGCTAAGTAGTTTGAACTTCCCATTATAGGTTCCGAGGTAATCATAACACTAGAGTTTCAAGAACTCATGTTTCTAGACCCAAAAACATCAAATCCCAAAGACATCGTTGCAAATTATTACCAAATAAGAGAAGAATCAACTGTAATCCACTGAAACAGAGTAAGGAAACACTGAAACAAAATAAGGGAATACTGTAGTCGTCGGAATCTTATTGTAGCTGCCGGAAAAAACTCAAAGTAGTTGGAATGAAATGAAAAGAGTAAGGGTAGGATCGGAATTACCAGGCGATCCGACTGTTCAACTGGAACTTTCTCAAAATCTGGCCGGAACAGAGCTCACGCACCTGCGCGTGGTCAGATCTTGCCGGAAAATTTCTTCCTTTTCCGGCGCGTGAGGGCGCGTGGACGTGTGTTTTCCGGTGGGGTTGTCTGGGGTTTGGTCGCCGGAGCCTGAGGAGTCTAGTGGCGGTATTGGTTTTTTGCACAGTACCAACAGAAAGTGATTTGCTTACGGACAACCTTCTAAGTCGCCGGAAAATTGCACGGCGAAGAGGTCTTTCTTCCCGGAAGTCGCTGGAATGATGCACAGCGACAGGTTTCTCACTAATGCTCTGATATCATGTGAGAAAGCACGGGAGAAAATATATTATTGATATTTGATACTCAATACAATACAAGACGTCCTTATTTATAGTTATACTCTACAAGGACATATTACTCCTATTCCAATGTGGGACAAGACTACATTATGTACATATCTGTTAACTAATACATATTAAGACACACGAGAAAAACAAGTTTTAAGTCTTAATAGAGAAAAGGAGAAAGAAAAAGTTTAAGTCCCACTGAGCCTTTAAATATAGGAATTAAAGTTACAAGTTGACAGTTTGCTGTTTTAACAGTATAATTGCCCATTGTCGGATTCTCCGTTATGCATAAAATAAGGTTTCATGTTCTGGGAGTCAATATAGAGGAACTAAAGATTTACTAACAATAAAACACAATGATGACATGTTAAATATCTTTCAACTATTAGGTACACAATTAAGGACATTAGACTTCTACATGCATGTTTTTGGGGAAGTGGTGTAGGTGGTTTCTTTATGACTTGTGGTGCTGTTATCCTGTGAATAACTTTCTAGTGTTTAAGTATTTGAACATCTGCTTGCAGATTCTGGACCCATCTGGTAATGGCTTACATCTTTACTTTCTGGACTTGCTATGTGCTGAAAAGGGAGTATGAGATAATTGCATCGATGAGGTTGCATTTTCTTGCATCAGAACGTCGACGACCAGATCAATTTACAGTAAGAACCCTAGTTAATATATTATGATGCCAATCTTTGTAGTAGTAAGATATTTTCTTTCTCTTAGGCCTACTTTGGCTATCAATTTACTTTATAGCAAGAGAAAAGTACATACTTCAAAATTTTTAAGATAATTGTGTCTTTGTTAGCGAAAACTTAATATTGATCTTGGGACTTGGATAACTTGGTCACAGTTAGATGCAAAAGGTTACTTAACTTCAGCATATCCCATCTTAGAATTCGACTTATTCTGGGTCAGTTTGAAGCTGTAAATTAATATTATGCTTGGTGTTAATTTGTCTTTCAAGGCCATCAGTCGTCTCCCTTTGTCAATAATAACCACCTTATTAGAGAGACATTAGAATAACCTAATTAGTGTTCTTTTCTTTTCCTTTCATTTCTTTTTTTCTTCTTTTCTTTTCTTTTTTTGGGTTAAACCTTAACCTTGCAACAATTGCGGCCTTCAATTTCTTCTCATTCTACTCTCTTGTCCAATATCATATGCTATACAACAATTAACTAAATGTGGTAAAGTGATGCCTAGTGTGACTTATGCATGTTTTTGACGATTACTATGTCGTGCCCAGGTACTTGTCCGAAATGTGCCACCAGATCCTGATGAATCAGTGAGTGAGCTAGTGGAGCACTTTTTCATGGTCAACCATCAAGATCATTATTTAACTAATCAGGTCGAAATTCGAACACCTACCTTCTCATTTAAAACATTTGCTGTCTGCCAAAGTTGATGCATAATTTTCTCTCTTTTGCTATCATACTGACCTCTAAAGGACTCTGTAGTGTTAGCTCTTAACATATTGAATAATCAATATGGATGAAGGAATACAATAGCATGAATTAGAAGGTGAAGAACAAGGTGTTATTGACAGTTCAATGTAGGCAAGGCAGAACATGAGTTTACCATATTTAGTAGCTGATACCTATTAGTTTATCTGATACTTAGAGAATATGTTGTCTATTGCGCGCACAATATATGTCATCTCTTGTTTTCGAGTCCTATTAGAGATTTATATACCAGTGAAAAAGATAGTGAACTTCTGCTACTTTTTAGTTTTATTTAGTAAAATATTGGTCTGAGATGAGGTAGTCATATTTATCTGGAAATAAAATATAGAGATTTTTCCGTTTACCTTTACATTCGAATTTCTGCACTAGTTACCTTGTTTATTAGACATGCAGCTTCTAACACCAATATGGCAGGAGGAGTCAGTCTATGATGATTTTCTTTCCCCTTAATAAATGTGTAGGTTGTATACAATGCCAACAAGTTAACAACGCTAGTCAATGAGAAGAAGAAAAAGCAGAATTGGCTTGATTATTATCAACTCAAGTATACTAGAAATCAGTCCAAAAGGCCCACATTAAAGGTATTATTTATAGTTTATTTTTGCTCTGGTATTAGCTAGTTATCTTGAGGAGAAATGTCTGTTTCTCACATCCCAGTACTAACGCCCAATGAGGAATTCTTTTCTATTAAGCAGACTGGTTTTCTTGGCTTATTCGGCAAGACCGTTGATGCAATTGATTACTATACTTCTGAAATTGAAAAGCTGTCAAAAGAAGTAAGTACCAACAATATTATTTTTTACATGGTTGAGTTTTTTGCGTACTGCAACTTTGTAATATATTTAACTGTATTGGGAGGACCAGTATCTTTTTTTTTTTTTTTTTTTTTTTTTTTTTTTTTTGCATTCTTATGCTTAATGCTTCTGCCCTTCTTATATTGGGGAATTCTAAACCTTAAAAAGGATTATTAGAAATTTGTGATCAAGACAGATCGACTATGAAAATATGAGGTAAATCAGTTGAGTTGGTTGAATGTCACCTTATAGGGAGAGTTCTTTGGCATTTTAGTTAATTTGGGAAATGTTCCACTGAAAGTAACATAGTGATAGCTACATCCTCAGGTGTCAGTAATTAATGATGATTTTGTAAAATTCCTTATAACGGTCCTCATGCATCACCACTTTGGTTTGTGTATATATCAGATATCTGATGAGAGAACGAATATTATTGGGAACTCCAAATCTATTATGCCGGCGGCATTTGTTTCCTTCAGAACAAGATGGGGAGCTGCTGTTTGTGCACAAACACAACAAGCCAGAAATCCAACACTGTGGTTAACTGAGTGGGCTCCGGAACCTCGTGACGTCTACTGGGATAATTTGGCAATTCCTTATGTTTCACTGTCAATCAGGAGGCTTATTGTTGCTGTGGCATTTTTCTTCCTTACCTTCTTTTTCATGATTCCCATTGCATTTGTACAGTCCCTTGCTAATATTGAGGGAATAGAGAAAGCATTACCTTTCTTGAAATCATTGATTGAAGCGTGAGTCTCTTCTTCTTCGCACTGTTTCCTCTCTAGCTCATTTCAGACAACTTAACTTATATAGTTTTTGAATAGCAGCCGTGGAAAACATAGAAGGTAATGTACTATTGCCTGTGTTTATACTAAATGATGCTTTTCCATGCAGTAAAGCTGTAAAATCCTTCATCCAAGGGTTCCTCCCTGGAATTGCGTTGAAGATTTTCCTCATCTTCCTCCCTTCAATATTGATGCTGATGTCAAAATTTGAAGGATTTAGCTCCATATCAGCTCTTGAAAGGAGATCCGCAACAAGATATTATATTTTTCAGTTTGTTAATGTGTTTCTTGGAAGCATCATTACTGGGACGGCATTTCAGCAGCTAAATAATTTCATGCATCAGTCAGCAAACGAGTATGTCCTCAAGAACTTCATCTCTAATTCTCTAATGCAGAATGTCTCATTCCAGCATGTTACTTCTTAAATTGACTTCTAGATACAGCTGCTATTTCATTTGTCAATCCCATGCCTCTGTTTGTTATACTCTCTAATCTCAATGCCAGGGGAAATGTTCCACGCTGTTTTGCTTGCTGATTATAAAGATTATACGAATAAAAGGTTGAGTGATTTCTGACGCAGAATACCGAAGACAGTTGGTGTATCCATTCCAATGAAGGCAACCTTCTTCATAACTTACATAATGGTGGATGGGTGGGCAGGAGTTGCTGGAGAGATACTTAGATTGAAGCCATTGATATTCTTTCACTTGAAAAACTTCTTTTTGGTGAAGACTGAGAAGGACAGAGAAGAGGCAATGGATCCAGGAAGTCTCGGGTTCAACACTGGTGAACCTCAGATACAGCTCTATTTCTTACTTGGCCTTGTTTATGCTGTTGTGTCACCGATCCTACTCCCTTTCATCATAGTATTTTTCGGCCTGGCGTATGTTGTATATCGGCATCAGGTAAAGCTTAATTAATTTTTGAAAAAATCTTTCATTTGATAAGTTTATTTTTTCAAAAGGATTTCTTCAAGTGGAATAAAAATCAATTCAAGAACTTCATAAATTACTGTTTTTTGTATTTTGTTAGTCACAGTTCTGCCTGTATTTTGGCATGGTACTTCTTCTAGGTGCACATTATGCATGACTTTATGTGCATCTGTATGTTGTCAGGGACGGAGCTAGAGAGCGAGATTCGGGTTCGGCCGAACTCAGTAACTTTGGTCCAAATTTTGTAGTTATCTTAAAAATCTATTTAATATGTATAAATTATTAATTTAAACTCCATCAACAAAAAAGTGCTAGAATCTTGAACCCATAAGCTTCAAATCCTGCCTCCTCCTTCTGTATGCTCTTTATCCTTTTGACTGAAATTTGAAAGATGATAATTTTGAAGTACATTTGCCTCTGTCTTGAGGCTTCTAATTGGACTCAATTTATGGCGTGATCAGCTCCCTCTGTTTTCATTCATTTCATTTTTGTTTCTTGGTTAACAGTATAGCATGTCAGGCATCTATATAGCACAACAATGCGGCCATTTTGTGTTTGCTTCCCCTAATTTATGTGCACAGTCGAAACAATATTTGCAATTCTATGTGGACATTCGGAAACCTGATTTATAATGTTTTTGTTTTACCTGTAGATTATAAATGTCTATAACCAGGAGTATGAAAGTGCAGCAGCATTCTGGCCTGATGTGCATGGTCGCATCATAACCGCGCTCATAGTCTCTCAATTGCTTCTAATGGGACTGTTAAGTACAAAGGGAGCTTCTCATTCAACTCCACTGCTTATTACACTCCCTGTACTAACCATATGGTTCCATTTGTTCTGCAAAGGTCGTTATGAGCCAGCTTTTGTCAGATATCCATTGCAGGTATTGCAGCTTTGTCTATTGCTTTTTCCTTTTCCCTTTTATGATTTATGGCCAACTTGAGGGAGTTGGTGATTTTTCTTTGGCATCCTTTTCTTAATCAATATCAGGAAGCAGTGATGAAAGATACGCTAGAACGTACAAGGGAGCCAAATTTCAACTTGAAAGAGTACCTTCAGGATGCTTATATCCACCCTGTTTTCAAAGGCGAAGAAGATATTGAGAGTGATGCAGCCAGCAAAGATGGGGAGCTGGAACCTTCACTCGTCCCAACAAAACGCCAATCTCGTTTCAACACTCCATTGCCAAGCAAAAGGAGTGGTTCATCTCCTCCATTATTATCCGATTTTGATGCAAATACGCGAGTATAGCTAGAAGCCTCTGATTTATAAGCATACAGTGAGCATCATCACAGATAAAGCCAACTTGAAGAGAGTAGCTTGGCCAAAGTATATTCTTAGTCGAAGCATGCAAGTTTTTGTGAGCAGGCAGAAATCTGTTTGGCCTGCATGTTTCAAGGTTATAGAGTTGTGTTTAGTCTTGTACATAACCATCTTGGTTCTCTATTACTTTAATTGGAAGTTGTTCTCATTTCCTGTCTACAATCAGCTGGTAAAAAGATGGCATAAAAACCTTGCCATGTAAATCAAAAACCTTTTAGATGAAGACAACTCTATTTTAAGGGGGAGAGAGGATATTTTTACTTCCAAGTTTCTCATGACTATGAAAGGAAATGGTCATTTCTTCTTTTGTTGGCATTTTGCACTTTTGTCTAAGGCTCTTTTTTTTTTTCCTTTGCCATTGCTGTCATTGAAAACTACTGCAGCCCAAGAAAAGTAAAGATGGGATATAGTAGAAATTTTAAATTAAAGAGAAATGAAGAATAAGGTTTACTGCACTTTTCACAGGAAATGGCTCGTGAAAGCCTTGGCATCTATAGCAGAAATTTTCAGTTTTCCAGAGGATTTCCTAATCAATTTGGCACTAACAAAGACAGAGGGATCCCAAGAAAGAAGAGTCTTGATTTACCATACTGCAATTTTACTAGGAAATGATCCTTATTTTGCCTATGCACTCCTAAATATTCCTCATTGACGGGCTGAATGAACCAATTACATGTCCTAGGTCTCAGAAAAGATTATCCCACGTAGATTAAATTAGTGGAACTTCCTCCTATTTGATTATTTTGAATGTTGCAAAAATACTTCTCCTAATAGGAATATATCTTCTAATGAAAAAGTTTTTGCTAACTAGTAAAAGAACGAGAGGTAAAAAGTTAAATCATTAATTATCACAAATGAGAAAAACAAATAGGTGCCAAGATAAGTTTTATACCAGTTTCATAGGTAATACTGTATTACCTTTTTCCAGTGCATAAAATAATAGGGATATCAAAAACTGCATATATCAATGTTGTCAATAGGAGTAATTTACCAGCTGTGTATCACTAATCAAAATAAATTCAAACGAATTAAACAAGATAAAGAAATTTAAACAAAACGAATCAACAGTAAGATAAAGGGAATTAAACAATCAACTCAGTGCTTCAAGAATTGATAGGTTTCTTTTTTTCACTGAGTGGGATGAAGAGTTCAGAAGCATTAAACAATCCCTCCTTCCTAGAATGGTATCAGATCACAGTCCAATTCAGCTCACTTGTGGATAATGGGAAAGGTCAAAATCATATTTCAAATTTGAGAATTGGTGGCTTGAGGTAGAAGGTTTCTCAGATTTAGTAAAAGGGTGGTGGTCTTCTTTTGTGGTTAGAGGTAGACCAGACTATATTTTGGCTACTAAACTGAAACTGTTAAAAGGGAAAATTGAAGGAATGGAATAAGGCCAATTATGGAAATCTGGGGAACAGAAAAATAGAAATACTTGTTCATATTTCTGAGCTTGACAAAATACAGGAGCAGAGGTGTCTCACTGATGATGAATTGATCATTAAGGCAAATTTATCAATGGTGTAATATGACCAAATTTTTATGACATTTGCCATAACATAATATTCATTATAATAAATTTGTGGTTCATGATATTTGTCATGACATAATATCCATTATAACAAATTTGTGGATCATGACATTTGCCATGACATAATATCCATTATTAGGCCAATGATTTCTTGCTATAAATAGAGGAGTTTCTCCTCATTTGCAAACACACCAATTCAAGAGCTTTTCACTCTTGTCTTTCTTTCTCCCCATTTATTTTATTATAGAGTATTTTGTAAGAGAGTGAGTGTTGGGAAACACTTGTGTGAACCCTTTCTTTGGAGTGATCTTGTAAGGTTATTCTCTTGGGGTATTTGGGATTAATTAGAGTATTTACTCTAATTTTGTACTCTCTTTTGTACTCTTGTTGGTATAGTGAAATTGCTCATCTCCGCTTGTGGACGTAGGTCACCTTGACCGAACCACGTTAAATTTGTGTCTTCTTTATATTCTTTAATTGCCGTTATTATCAACTTCCATTGTCTTTGTTATTGTCATTATACCGTTGTTTGGCTAAATTCCGCACTACCCGGGTTCCCGATCCTAACAAATTGGTATCAGAGCCAGATCTAACCGGGTTAGTTTAAATAGCCAAAATGACTCTAACAAAGTCTTATGTTGAGAAATTTGACCGAAGTGCAAACTTCGGAATGTGGCAATTAAAGATGGAAGCTATCCTAATTCAGGATGGCTTAGATTTGGCACTGCAAGGAAAGGAGAAGATGCCGGATAAAATGACGGACGAGGAGTTTGCCGTCATAGACAAAAAGGCAAAAGCAGGTATTATTTTAAATCTTTCAAATGAGGTTTTGCGTGAAGTTGCAGCAGAAAGCTCAGCCAAAGGCATATGGGAAAAGCTTAAAACCCTATATATGAAAAGAACAGTAGAAAACAGGCTTTACCTAAAGCAAAAACTCTACACTTTTCGTATGGCTGAAGGTACCTCTATACTTACTCATCTTGATACTTTTGATTCTCTTCTTATGGATTTAAGTAACATAGATGCTGAAATCAAAGATGAGGATCAAGTTGTGTTATTGCTTGTTTCCTTACCCCAGTCGTTTAAACATATAAGAGATACTATGCTTTATGGAAAAGATAATATCTCTTGTAAAGATATCAAATCTATTTTGAAATCAAAAGAACAAATAGATAGAGATATTACTGGAAAAACTAATGGGAACCAAGGGGAAGGCTTATTCATAAGGGATAGATCAAATAAGAAAGATTCAAGTAGTGAGAAACCTAAATCAAGGTCAAAATCCAGATACAGAAATGTCATGTGCAAATATTGTCATAAGAAAGGTCACATTATTTCTGAATGCTTTAAATTGAAAAACAAAGAAAAGCATACAGAAAAGAAAAATGAGCACAAAAATACTGACACTGCCGAAGCAAGTGTAGCTGCTGATGAGACTGAGGGAACTATTTTTTTAGCAACTAATAATAGTTTCAAATCTAACAATGAGTGGATTTTAGATTCGGGTTGTTCTTATCATATGTGTCCCAGTCGGGATTTATTTACCACATATGAATCTATTGGAGGTGGAGTTGTCTTGATGGGCAACAATGCTGCCTGCAAAGTTATTGGAAAAGGTACAGTCCGAATCAAAATGCACGATGGTGTGGTGAGAACTCTCACCGATGTTAGACATGTTCCTGACTTGAAGAAAAATCTCATCTCTTTGGGTACTCTAGAATCTCTTGGGTGCAAGTACACAGGTGAATGTGGGGTTCTAAAAATTTCTCTTGGTGCTCTTGTGGTCATGAAAGCACGCAGATCTGGTACGTTGTATACTCTTTTGGGATCTACTGTTATAGGTGCTGCTTCAGTTTCAATATCAGATAAATCAGATTCTGACATCACCAAATTGTGGCATATGCAATTGGGGCATATGAGTGAAAAAGGTCTTTCCATCCTCAGCAAAAGAGGTCTCTTATGTGGCCAAAGTACCGAAAATATGGAGTTCTGTGAATATTGTATGTTCGGGAAACAGAAAAGAGTCAGCTTCAAATTTCCAGTGATTCATAGAATAAAAGGTACTTTGGATTACATTCATTAAGATCTTTGGGGTCCTTCACGTACCCCATCAAAAGGTGGTGCCAGGTATATGTTAACTTTCATTGATATTCAAGAAAAATTTGGGTTTATTTCCTGAAAAATAAAAGTGATGTTTTCTTAAATTTCAAACAATGAAAAATTTTGATTGAGAAGCAAACAGGAAAACAGGTTAAGCGGCTTAGAACAGATAATGGCTTGGAATTTTGTAATGATGAATTCAACAAATTTTGCAAGAATGAAGGAATTGCTCGACATCGTACTGTGAGAATGACACCTCAGCAAAATGGTGTGGCAGAAAGGATGAATAGAACTCTTTTGGAAAGGGCTCGTTGCATGATTTCAAATGCTGGGTTGACAAATGCCTTTTGGGCAGAAGCTATATCTACAGCTTGTTATATTGTCAACCGAGCTCCTTCTGCACCTTTGAACTTTAAGACCTCAGAGGAAGAGTGGTCAGGTACTCCTGCTAATTATTCTGATTTAAAGATATTTGGTTGCCCTGCATACATACATCTAAATAATGGAAAATTAGAGCCAAGGGATAAAAAGTGCATTTTCCTTGGGTATGCATCTGGGGTGAAAGGATACCGACTATGGTATCCTGATCCCATGGCACAAAAATTTATAATTAGCAGAGATGTAACCTTTGATGAATCCTCTATGTTACATTCTAGAAAAGAGTCTTCTAGTTCTTGTGATACAAATAAAGGAAAGTGTACACGGAACCCGGTGGAGATTGAGGTTGGCAATTCTTCGGAGCCAAGCTCATCAACTTTGGAGCAAAATACAGTTAAAACTCCTGAAGTTGAGATAGAAGCTGAAATTCCTGAAGTTGAGACTCCTGAAGTTGAACCAGAAGAAGATGAGTATTCTATAGCCAAACATAGACCAAGAAGAGAAGGTAAACAACCATTAAGGTTTGGAGATTATGTTGCATTTGCTTTTTCAGTTGCACAGGAAACTGAAGAAATTGGAGAACCATCAAAATATTCAGAAGCAGTTTCTGGTGCTGACTCAGCCAAGTGGCTGATTGCAATGAATGAAGAAATTGAGTCTCTCCACAAGAATGGTACTTGGTCTCTTGTGAAGCTGCCATCAGGAAAAAGAATTGTTGGTTGCAAATGGGTCTTCAAGAAAAAGGATGGCATTCCAGGGGTTGAAGATGCGAGGTATAAGGCACGATTAGTTGCAAAGGGCTATAGTCAGGTACAAGGAGTTGATTTTAATGATATTTTCTCACCTGATGTTAAACATAGCTCTATTCGTGTCTTGCTTGTCTTCGTTGCCATGTATGATATGGAATTAGAACAACTTGATATTAAGATAGCTTTCTTACATGGCGAACTTGAGGAACAAATATACATACATCAACCCGAAGGATTTGAAATTGAAGAAAAAGAAGATCATGTTTGCTTGTTGAAGAAATCCTTGTACGGATTAAAGTAGTCTCCAAGATAATGGTATAAAAAGTTTGATTCCTTTATGTTGGGTCATGGTTATTCGAGGAGCATGTATGATAGTTGTGTTTACTTCCGGAAGTTAAATGATGGTTCATTTGTGTACCTATTATTATATGTTGATGACATGCTCATTGCTGCTAAGGATTTAACAGAAATTCACAATTTGAAAAGTCAGCTGAAAAGTGAATTCGAGATGAAAGATTTGGGAGCAGCTAAGAAAATCCTTGGCATGGAGATCAAAAGAGATCGAAAAGCCAACATGCTATTTCTGACCCAGAAGAAGTACTTGGAGAAAGTCTTGGAGAGGTTTGGCATGAAAGATGTTAAACCAATTAGTACCCCTTTTGCTGCTCATTTTAAGTTATCAGCTGCTCAGTTCCCGCAGTCAGAGAAAGAAGAGAAGTACATGGCACAGGTTCCTTATTCCAGTGCAGTCGGCAATATTATGTATGTAATGGTTTGTACACGACCGGATATTTCACAAGCAGTGAGCGTGGTAAGCCGGTATATGGCTTGCCCTGGTAAAGCACATTGG